GTAGCTGAGGCTGCACAGGGTGTCAGTAGGTTTGGACAAATCAGATCTTTCCATGATGTGCCACAGCCTCTTCACCCCCGATATCGCTGCTGGCAATTCTCCCACAGACACAGGGCCACGGCCCTTTCTCAGGGCCTAGAATTCTGGCTAGTGGGGTCAGAGGTGGCTTGGAACTGTGCTGTCTGCCTCAGATCTTTTCAGCAGTCTTCTGTGTTTCTGTGTCAACTCCCCTCTCCCAGTGCTGTGCGGAAGGCAATTAAAGAGAGCGGCGCTGGGAGGGGAGTGAGGTTGTGGCTGGAGCTGCACTGAAGCACGTTGGTGGTGGGCAGTATAGCTCTGCCATCCCCACTCAGATGCTGTCATGGTTGCCACACTCCCTGCTCCCACTCAGCAGCTCCTCATCTGCTTGCCCTCGCAGCCTTGTTGTGCGTGGACACAGTCCCCCGTTGGAGAAAGTTTGCGTGATTAGTTTCTGGATTAATATCGAGAGATGAAACTTTGGGAACAGGAGTTCTTCAGGTTGAAAAGTTACATCAGTTCTGGCAAGACTTATGTTAAAATTTCTTTTGTAACCCTTCTCTAAGTGCGGTTTCTGTTTATACTTAGAAAAATGTGATAGACTTGCCTTGAATAAGTTGCTAGTTCCCACCTGTTGTACAGCTGTTGTTAGCCATTGGACAAAAAAAAAAATAGGGACTTGCATTACATTTCAAGTTACGTGTGCAGAGCCAATGTTGCATTTATTATTTTTAAAAAAACTATGTACTAAATATCTCTCATCTTACCATTTAAAAAAATGCTTATTAGCAGCCCCATCAATGTTGCTATAGCATGGTGTCACGTGCCTGGTACACTGAGAGGAGAGGGTTTAGAAAGGAGAGATGGATGTAATGCTTCCTCTGCTTATTAAAATGTTACAGAGATCCACTACTTAGCTGACGGATTGTAGGCACTAGCCAATTTTGAAAAAACACCCAGGCAAATGAATGGAAGCAATATCCATTGAGGCTTATTAAACAAAGTATGTTAGGATTTGGAAGACGAACACGCAGGCTGCACGCTCCTTGGGATGCTCACACCCAACATCTACCCTGTATGGCTGTGTGCTTGCCCTGTTTTTGTATCTTTAGTTGTATAACTGAAGTTGAACGTATGGAACAGATGCATATTGGCTGATTACTGGAATAAATGCACCTTTGGTCTGTCTTGGTGTTGTGGTTCAGCCCAGCTGGCAGCTAAAGCCACCACTCAGCCACTTGCTCGCTGCTCCCCTCAGTGAGGTGGAGAGGAGAAAAGTGTAACACAAGGTGTGAGGGTTGAGATAAGAACAGAGGGGGATCACCCACTGACCATGGTCCTGGGCAAAACGGACTTGACTTGAGAACAGATCAATTTAATTTATTAACAATTATTTGAGAAGATAAGAGGAAACAAAGCCAGATCTTGAAACACCTTCCCCCCACCCTTCTTCCTGGCTCTGCCCCCTCCCCCAGGAGCCCAGGGGGACACAAATGGGGGGCTGCAGGTCAGTTCATCACACGCTGTTTCTGCCGCTCCTTTCTCAAAGGAGGAGGACTCCTGACACTCTTCCCCTGCTCCAGTGAATTCCCTACTCACGGGACAATCCACAGACTTCTCCAATGTGAGTCCTTCCTGCAGGATGCAGTCCTTACCCATCACATCACTCTGGTGTGGGCTTTTCTACAGAGTCACAGCTTCTTAGGGAGCTGCCACCTGCTCTGGCGTGGGGTTTTCCACAGACTTCAGATGCATCTCTGCTTTGTCATCAGTCAGCAGCAGCCTACTGAGACAATTCTCTATGACCTCCTTCAGGCACAGGCATCTCTGCTCCAGTGTGGAGTTGTCCAAGAGCTGCGGGTGGGTCTCTCATGGGTGTCAGAGGGGCCGCTGCTGTCTCACCACGGGCTGCAGGGGAATCTTACGTCCGGCACCTCCTCTGCTCCATCTTCACTGAGCTGGTGTCTGTGTGGCCGTTTCTCTCAGGTCTCAGCCCTCTCTCCACTGCAGCCCAACGACCCTCGGCAGTCCTGGCAGTACAAACTCTGCCCAGTGGGCACCCTGGGATCAGGGCACTTTGGAGCTCTCCAAGCTGTGCCGCTGTGGCCGTCTCCAGTCTAGTGGTGCTGGCCCAGCACTGACAGCTGTCCACCTCGGAGTCTGGGGAGGGGGGCAGCCCCCGCCTCCCCCATCTCTTCACTGTAGGTCGGAGTCTGGTTCTGGCTCCTTTGTCCCCATCTTAAATATGGGATTCGCAGAGGTGCTGATGGCTCAGCCCCGGCCTGAGGGGATGGGGATGTCTGACCTGGACAGAGACGGGTTGGAGCAGTTTTGGAGCCCAGGAAGTTTTTTTTGCAGCTGCTGGCAGGGGTCGTCTCTGCAGCCCCTTCCCTGCTGCCAAAACGCCATCACGCAAACCCAGCACACTCAGTGCAGTCCATTGTGTATTCCGAAGCCCACAGCAGAATGTGGCCATGCTGCTGAGTAGGTGGGCTGCGGGGCTGTAACTGGCTTTGGGTAGCTCACGTTTTTGAAGGCTCTTGCATAATAGAGCAGTAGGGAAATGCCTCTCCTTTCTGTTCTGTTCTTTTTTTCCTATTTTCTTTGTGCTGTCCTCCTCATGAATACAAATGCAACTTTGAAAGGGAGAAATGACCCTGAGCAGGTACGGTATTTCCGTCTGGTAGTGCAGGTGGTCCTGTCTCTGGACCAATATGGGAGTGTTCATCCAGATCAGCTTCCTGAATCCTCTCAGCACATCACTGCAACTGCTTGTGACAGCAGGGAGCAGGAGTGTGAGGCGAGTTACGTCTTGCAGGTCTCTGTTGTAGCAACCTGACTGGTAGCAAGCAGCCTGTGCAGTTGTGCTAACTGCAGTCTGACACTGCTTGGATCTGCAGGTGTGACCTGCTGTGGTGCTTTTCTGCCTCCCCCCCCACTCCCAAATAAAAATACTAGTTTTTTTGTCTGTGACATCCTTGTTCTGCTAAATAAGGGCTTGGGAAGGGATATATTGTGAATGTTTTCCTCTTTTAAACCAGTACTTGCGTTATTCTTTTTCATATAAGAATAAAACTCTGTTATTGAAACACATTTAAGTTATCACCAAATAATAATAATTCCAGTTGTTATGTTAATTGGAAATTATCATGATTTGGCAGCTAAGTACTGACTGTGTCAGGTACTTCAGATTTCCATTTTTAAAAAATACTGATAGCCAAGGTAGTAACTGAGAAACAGAACAAAACTCGAGTATTCAGTGCTGTTTTTTTCTCCTTTTTTTTCTCCACCTCAAGTTAGCTACTATGCATGTTGGCCATCCGTGCCTCTAGTTACAGACCTGTATGTGCCATACCTCATGTGTGAGAAGTTTTTGGATTTTACACAGTAGGAGCTCAAAAAGGAGTGTGTGTTTTTCAGGAAGTTTTCCCACTTCATTGGCTTGAGGAAACTCTACCAAGTGTTTCTGGGTTTTGTGTAAGAGCACCTGTGCTGATGTTTGCTGTATCCAGGAGGTGGGCTAAGGTTTGTTTGAACAACCCGTTTCTATGTAGTGCTGATAAATGGTTCTCTGCTCTGTTCCGTTTTCCATGGGTGTTCTGTTGGTGCTGATTTCTGAAGCAGGAAAAGCAGCAGGTCAAGGAGTGAATGATATGAGAGGTAGGATTGCTGAACAGTGCTGCATGTGCTGTAGTTTTCCTGTCCGCTCGCCCGTGCCACTGGTGCCAGTCAGCTTGCAATAACGTGGTGGAAAGACGTCAGCATAGCAGTTAATTGGGGGTGGGGGTGACACGGAGACCACACGACACAAAACCCGACAGGCATGTTTTTCTGATTCTGGGATGCTCAAGTGGTGCTGGCTGTACCAGTTCCAAGGTGCCTTGCGTGGCCACTTTTAGCCGACTGGTCCTGGTAAAATGAAGTTGCAGTATACTGATACTTGCAGAAAGGCCAGGTGTTCTTCTGTGTGGAGAGCTGCTTTGGGTGCCATGATGGACAGTGCTGTTGGTGTTCCCCTGGCATGCTACGTCTTGGCTAAAAGTGAAGCTTTTTGGTTTTTCATGTATTGCAGGTAGAATTTGACAATTCTGTTTACATCCGTCATCATTTGACTTTCTATTTTGTCTCATCGCAGGGATATATTAACAGTGCACTTGATAACCAATGGTTGTAAGCTTAGAGAAGGCTCCTTCCTTGTGGGAAGGATGTCTGGATTTATGCTGTGAGGGAGATGTTACTTGGAAATGCTGCTTAAACACAGTACTAGAGTTGGAAATACGATAATCCTTTTTAAGCTGTTTAAGATGCTGAGAAAACTTGGGTAATAGATTCTGTCAGTGACATTCTTTACAAGTCCCTGGTGCTTTGTAGAGCTGTGATAGTATGAAAAGTAGAGCATCTGATTCTTCAACAGAAGAAATTAAAATGACCTGGCTTAATTGATTTTCTATTTATGTACTCTAGGCTGCTTTCTGGCTAGGAAGTTTTGCTGTATTCTCTTAAGGGGGTGGCAGAGAAGGAGGATGAATATTCAATTCCGTTAATTTTAATCTTAAAGCTTATGCTGGCAAAGATCTGTTTAGATACATTTGTAGGATGTTATTGATTTTACCAGTCTTGCAAAAAGACTGCTCAATTATTATTTTTTCCTAATGATTCTAGTACATTAACAACTTGTTTCTTTACTAATCTCTCTTGCTGTAGTTCGGGATTGTCATTGACACACAAAGTTTCATTGAGTAAAATTTGATTCTTGTATTGAAATGAGTCTTTAGTGCTGGCGTGAGGTTTCTTGCTTAATTGCACAGTTATCCAGTATGTTCTGAATGTGTGGAAAGTAGGGAGATAAAGCAGTTTTTCTGCAGATGTATATATTTTATCAAGATAGGATCTTCGTCACCCATGAGTGTGTTAGTCTTGTGGTCCTGCTACCTTTTTCTCACTTACCTCTCCCTCTACTTCTTCCAATCTTTCCTGCACAGTTTGCTTACTTCAGACAACGAAAACCAAAAACCGACATCGCGCAGTCGCAGAAAAAGACGGCGAAGAGGAAGGGCTCGCCTGTCCACACGCATGACGTTCCGAAGGAAGAGTGTGCACTAGCTGCCCAAGATGTTGGTAAGGGTAGAGAGAGTAAGGCTGAAGACACCAACCTGCTAGAGGCAGCAGCAGGCACAGAGGTAAATCTTAGTATTTCTTGTGTCTCACTTGACTCTGTCTGTAGATAGCAAGTATTCCAGGTGATTGTTTTACTTAATTGAGTATTAGCTCTCTGGCACTGCCAACTAGCTGCCATTGAGAAGTAAAATGATGTATTTTTCACTTGTAATAATTAACTCTCTTACAAAGTGGTGTTAATAACTGAAAAAAACATCTCCATGATATGGACCGGACAGCTAGTATTGTCAAGGAGCTGCCTGATGTCAGCCTGCTGAATTGAGGTCTTTCACTGCAATGAACTTCTCTTTGGGTGGACTTTTGGTTATGTGGCTGTGACTCCATGAAATGGCAAATCCAAACTGAGGCATGCAGTAGATGAGCAGAACTGTCAGGACCTTATGATGCACAGCATTAGTTTGGTTTTGTGTCACTTCACTGACTGAAGTGTGCTTAATGTTTTCTGAAAAAATGTAATTTGTTCCAGTGTGCTGGAACACGGCTAGTAGCTATGGCTAAAAAAACATAGAAGTTACGTTCTCTAACAGATGTGTTTAAAATGTGACTCAGCTCGTGCCTGGTAATTTTCAGTATGTTTGTACTGATGAGCCTTTAGAGGTAGCCACTTAGTCCTGTCAGTAAGTGTAGAAAAAAAAGTTTCTGATATAGTTTGAGATTACCAGACATCTGCTAATAGATGTACTGGTCTGCCTGAATTAAGCAGTTGCTTTCTTTCTTCAGATCACATGCAAGACTTATTTTTTTTTATCAGCTGTGGATTAGACAGTCATGTAACACTTTCTATCTCGTAATAAAACTGAGCAAAACATAGTTTTGAGCAATTTTTTTTTTAGGAATCCAGCTTGCTTCAGAAGTAGTTGGCTAATGCTTTCACAAACCTCAGAAGCTACAAGGTGACTCTCTGGCTACAGCAAACTGTATCTATGTCAGTCTGGGAGTTTGTTTAGAAAGTAGTTTCCCAGTGCACTTCATCGTGCCTGTGCAAAGATTTGTGAGTTTTGGGGAGGCGGTGCCTTCTGCGTGAAAAGCATATCTCCAGCTGTTGGTGTGATTTCACGACATACAACAGCATCAGACCAGTGTGTTTGCAAATGTGAGGTAATGGAGAATATTATTTGCATGTATGATCGTGCTTTCTGCTGTGAGGGTATCCCTAGTGCTTTCAGGATATCCTGGATGTAACGTTAGCATTGCAAAGGCTTTTATGAAGCTTCATGCCACGCTGTCCGCACTAAGAAAAAAGCGTACAGTGTTTTGTCACTCAACCACAGCATCGTCAGGAGCGTCCTGGTTACGTTCATGTGAACTTAAGTGATTTTTGTTTGTTTTTTGATTTATTGCTTCTAAACAGTTTCTGTCAAAATAGCTGGTTTGTAAAGCAAATAGAAAATTCTTTTCTAGGTTACGTGAAGAGGGCACCAGTAGTCATTGGAAACTACTTTGTGCAGTTTCAAAATACAGGGAGGGTTATGGGCTGCCTTTTCTAAATAGTGCTGCAGTCATCTTTGTCTTGTCGTGAATTTAATGAGAGGTAAATATCTTTCAAGATATCAAGCTACATTAAGTATATGTGTCAGAAAATAGTACTGCTTTCCTAATTACCTGAATGATTTTAGCATGTTTGTTACGTAATCTCCTGTCAGTTAGTTACTGATATTTAGTAGTGGGTTAAAGAGTGCTCAACTGTATTTGCCAGCTACAAGGACAGAATATAAAGCATTGAATTGCAATGGTAAGACTTAGCCCTAAATTTTTGAGTAGACTTTCATAATGATTTTTTGCATTTATTTCATTCATTTGACCACAGATGAGCAGCAGGGTTTTTTCTCTCTCTCCCCTCCTTCCCTCCACCTTCTGGTATGCTGTTTCACAACATGGACATTTCTGGCTCGTGTGCTTAAGGTGTTTCCAAAAGAATTCAGCTTTTTCTTTTGTATCTTTAAAATGGCCATGGCTTAGTGTTTGTTTTATTTGTTTGCTTACTAGGGGAGTGCTCACTGGTCCAACTGGGATGTACTGAATGATCATGCAGCTGAAGTAAGTGTGAAAGAATGTATGTTTAGTAGAAGATGCTAATATATATGTGAAAGAAGAGTATGGTAATTGGTTACTAAAATTATTACTTTTTGAGCATTGTTATCAAATGTGATAGGAGTGATGTGATTTCACGATTTTACAGTCTAAAACAGGTATTTATCTGTACGTGCATGTACTGGCTGTGAAAGTAATTGCTAAGAGAATTGTTTTTAGTGAAACCATGGACCCTGTCCAGAGACATTTGAATGGTGTTTTTAATTGAAAAGTAGATTTATACTTTGTTTCACACATTAAAACCAAAAATTATTTAAAATAAGATATAAGATACTATCTCCTCTGTGAGAATTGTAACAGTATTGCTCCTAAGAAAACACAGGATTGATTGGAGCAGCTTCTTTCTACTTTTTGCTTGTTTTGCTGTTAAAGACCATAGAAACTCAGAGTATGTTGAATGTATATTTGCAATAGCTGCTTACACTTGAATTTGATTCTAAGTCAAGAACTTAACATTATTTTTCCTATGGATGGGCTGTTGTCCAGTCAGCACAGATGTATGTAAAAACTTTGTTTAATTTTGATAGCGTTCCCTCCATGACCACTTGTAAGTTGGAATGTGATTTAAATCCCCATATGTGTTAAAATGGCACATTGCCACAATTTGGTGCTATGGAAAGGCTCTTCTCCTTGATTTACTTCTGTGCCTTAAAGTATTATGTGAAAATATATTATCTATGAAATATTTTTCTTTGAAATTTTTAAGAATTAAGGACTTTTATATAAAATGTTTCTATTAAATACAAAGTCTCAATGTTGAATTACTTTTAAACTAGAATGTGCTCAGAATTGAAGCTTGATTTGTATTCAGAGTATTCACAAAACATAAGTGGTATATTGTTTTGGTGAGTAAATGCATTTTTGTTTCTTTTATGAAGAACGTTATGATAAATTCTGCTGCAGAATATGGTGACCTTGATGCTAAGATGTGTCAGGTGGGAATAGCTGAGCTAGAGAACAGACTTGTGGAAAAACAGAAGGCAGTCGAAAGGCTCTCTGTACAGATGGACGAGCTACAGGAACAACTTACCCAGCACAGTGACTCTATGCAACTTCAGGTATGTTTCACGGAATGGGATAATGGGGATAATACTACTTTATTTTAATCTTAAAATATTTAGGAGGCAAAACTCAAAATATATTTTATCTTGCTAACATGTGCTGTGAAAAGCAGTGCTTAGGTTTTTCTTTGACCAGTATCCAGGACTTCGTACTGCTTGAATCAATGAGAGTAAAATTAAATTTGAAATGCTCCTATTTTTAGAGAGATTTTATGAAATGCATAGTTAAATTCTTCTTCTGAGAAATGGTTGGATGCTCGCTACTAGTTTTTATTGATAAATTTTCTTACTATACTGAGGAGTGGGCCTTTATAGAGAGAACCTGCAAGAACCACTAAGGTAAGTATAATAAATTCAAGGCCAGGTTGGATGAGGCCCTGAGCAACCTGATCTAGTTGGAGATATCCCTGTTCCTTGCAGGGGGGTTGGACTAGATGACCTTTGAAGGTCCCTTCCAGCCCTAACCATTCTATGATTCTAAATAATACATTGAGGTAGGGGGCTCAGTGTAAAAACATGGGACTTACATTTTTATAAATACTGACTTTAAAAAAAAAAAATATATATATCAAGATCATTCTGAAAAGTGGTGCAAACTACCCCCCTTCAAAGTATTGTTCAAACTATTGAAAAGGAAGTACTTGTTGAAACGTCAGTGTTTCTGTGGATGTACCTGAGAAGCACTTCACGGATGCACCTAGGCTCCTTTTAAAATGGTCACACTGGATGGCAGACACAGCCACTGCCACCACAACCTCTGATGACTTTTTCTTCTGGAGATCATCACAGAATCACAGAATGTTAGGGATTGGAAGGGACCTTAAAGGATCATCTAGTCCAATCCCGCTGCCTGAGCAGGACCGCCTAGATTAGATCACACAAGAATGTGTCCAGGCGGGCTTTGAACATCTCCAGAGAAGGAGACTCCACAACCTCTCTGGGCAGCCTGTTCCAGTGTTCTGTTACCCTTACTGGGAAGAAGTTCTTCCTCATGCCTAAGCGGAACCTCCTATGTTCCAGCTTATATCCATTTCCCCTTGTCCTATCATTGGATGCCAGTGAGAAGAGCCTGGCTCCATCTTCATGGCAGTCACCCTTTATATATTTATAAACATTAAAGCCCTGATAGAGTTAAATCTGGCCAGGGACATCAAGGCCAACAAGAAAAACTTCTACAGATATGTCAGTGATAAAAAGAGATCTAGGGAAAATGTAGGCCCTCTCCGGAAGGAAGCGGGGGACCTGGCTACCCAGGATATGGAGAAGGCTGAGGTTCTCAATGACTTCTTTGCCTCAGTCTCCACTGGCAAGAGCTCCAGTGGCACAGCCCAAGTCACGGAAGGCAAAGGCAGGGACTGTGAGAATGAAGAACCGCCCACTGTAGGAGAAGATCAGGTCTGAGACAATCTAAAGAACCTGAAGGTGGACAAGTCCATGGGACAAGATGAGGTGCATCCGCGGGTCCTGAGGGAACTGGCAGATGAAGTTGCTAAGCCACTATCCATCACATTTGAGAAGTCATGGCAATGTGGTGAAGTTCCCACTGACTGGAAGAGGGGAAACATAGCCCCCATCTTTAAAAAGGGGAAAAAAGAAGACCCAGGGAACTACAGGCCAGTCAGTCTCACCTCTGTGCCCAGCAAGATCATGGAGCAGATCCTCCTGGCGACTACGCTAAGGCACATAGAAAACAAGGAGGTGATTGGTGACAACCAACATGGCTTCACTAAGGGCAAATCCTGCCTAACTAATTTGATGGCCTTCTATGATGAGGTTACAGCAATGATGGATAGAGGAAGAGCAACTGACATCATCTACCTGGACTTATCCAAAGCATTTGATACTGTCCCACACGACATCTTTGTCTCTAAACTGGAAAGACATGGTTTTGATGGATGTACCACTTGGTGGATAAGGAATTGGCTGGATGGTCGCACTCAAAGAGTTGTGGTCAACGGTTCAATGTCCAAGTGGAGGCCAGTGACGAGTGGTGTTCCTCAGGGGTCAGTACTGGGGCCAGTGCTATTTAACATCTTTGTTGGAGACATAGACAGTGGGATCGAGCGCACCCTCAGCAAGTTTGCAGATGACACCAAGCTGTGTGGTGTTGTGGACATGCTGGAGGGAAGGGATGACATCCAGAGGGGCCTTGACAGGCTGGAGAGGTGGGCCTGTGAGACCCTCATGAAGTTCAACAAGGCCAAGTGCACGGTCCTGCACGTGGGTCGGGGCAATCCCATGCACAAGTGCAGGCTGGGTGGAGAATGGATTGAGAGCAGCCCTGAGGAAAAGGACTTGGGAGTGCTGGTGGATGAGAAGCTCAACATGAGCCGGCAATGTGCCCTGGCAGCCCAGAAAGCAAATCGTATCCTGGGCTGTATCGAAAGAAACGTGGCCAGCAGGTCGAGGGAAGTGATTCTGCCCCTCTACTGTGCTTTCTTGAGACCCCACCTGGAATACTGTGTTCAGCTCTGGAGTCCCCAACACAAGGACATGGAACTACTGGAGTGAGTCCAGAGGAGGGCCACGAAGATGATCTGAGGGCTGGAGCACCTCTGCTATGAAGGCAGACTGAGAGATTTGGGCTGTTCAGCCTAGAGAAGAGAAGGCTCCGGGGTGATCTTATAGCAACTTTCCAGTACTTAAAGGGAGCCTACAGGAAAGCTGGAGAGGGACTTTTTACAAGGGCGTGTAGTGATAGGACAAGGGGCAATGGATTTAAACTGAAAGAGGGGAGATTTAGATTAGATAGAAGGTAGAAATTTTTTACACTGAGGGTGGTGAGGCACTGGGACAGGTTGCCCAGAGAAGCTGTGGCTGCCCCATTCCTGGAAGTGTTCAAGGCCAGGTTGGATGAGGCTTTGGGCAACCTGGTGTAGTGGAGGGTGTCCCTGCCCATGGCAGGGGGTTGGAACTGGATGATCTTTGAGGTCCCTTCCAACCCAAACCATTCTATGATTAATGACGTGCCCCCTCAGTCTCCTCTTCTCCAAGCTAAAGAGACCCAGCTCCCTCAGCCTTTCCTCATAAGGCAGATGCTCCACTCCCTTAATCATCTTTGTGGCCCTGCGCTGGACTCTCTCAAGCAGTTCCTTGTCCTTCTTGAACTGAGGGGCCCAGAACTGGACACAATATTCCAGATGCTGCCTCACCAGGGCAGAGTAGAGGGGGACGAGAACCTCTATCGATCTACTAACCACACGCCTTCTAATACACCCCAGGATGCCATTGGCCTTCTTGGCCGCAAGGGCACATTGCTGGCTCATGGTTCAACAGGGCCCTCAGGTCCCTTTCCTCTGTGCTGCTCCCCAACAATTCAGTCCCTTGTACTGGTACATGGGGTTGTTCTTACCCAGATGCAAGACTCTACACTTGCCCTTGTTGTATTTCATTAAATTTCTCCCCGCCCAACTCTCCAGCCTGTCC